GAAGACGCTGCGCGATGCCGCCTTCCCGCCCCGAGGGTGGCGTACCCAGCACGTAGGCATCCTGCTCGTTCTCGACGAGGTTCAGACCGGGTTCGGGCGGACCGGCCGAGACTAGTCGAGACTCGCCGAGATCTTCGCCGAGAGGAGCCGAGAGGAGCCGAGAGGAGCCGAGAGGAGCCGAGAGGAGCCGAGAGGAGCCGAGAGGAGCCGAGAGGAGCCGAGAGGAGCCGAGAGTAGCCGAGATCGCCCCGAGAGTAGCCGAGATCCGGATTCGGGGCAAGCTCTTCCCAAGGACGCGTTTAGGACATGTCCTGCGGCGTGTCTGGCAGGCAAGCTCTTTGCGAGCGAGCGCTTCCTGCCCGAGGCGACGCCGGACGTCCTCGTGATGGCCAAGGGCGCTCGCCTTGACCCGCCGCGGCCGCTCGCGCGCCGTGCGTCAGCGGCGGCTTCACGGCTCCGCCCCCTGTGAACAGGCCTCGCCCACTGGGGCCTCCCTGGCCTGTGGACGGCGTCTCTTCACAGCCCGGAGGCTGTGACCACCAGGCCTCGCCTCCGGCTTCCCGCTCGCGGCCCTCGCCGCCAGCAGCTCGCTCACCGACGCGCAGCCGCCCGGCAGCATGGGCGGGACCTACGCGGGCAACGCCGTGTCGTGCGCGGCGGCTGTGGCGACGCAGCGAGTGATCCGCGAGGAGGGGCCCGTCGGTCCAGATGCGGAAGATCTCCCCCAGATCTCCCCAGATCTCCCCCCAGATCTCCCCAGATCTGCCCCAGATCTGCCCCAGATCTCCCCCAGATCTCCCCAGATCTCCCCAGACCTCCCCCAGATCTCCCCAGATCTGCCCCAGATCTGCCCCAGATCTGCCCCAGATCTCCCCAGAACTCCCCAGACCTCCCCCAGATCTCCCCAGATATGCCCCAGATCTGCCCCAGATCTCCCCAGATCTCCCCAGACCTCCCCCAGATCTCCCCAGATATGCCCCAGATCTGCCCCAGATCTCCCCCAGATCTCCCCAGATCTCCCCCAGATCTCCCCCAGATGCGGGAGACGCACCCGCGCGCCATCCAACTCGGAGGAGGTGTGAGGGAGATCTGGGGAGATCTGGGGGGGGTTCCAACTCGGGGGTAGACGCGCGCTCGGCTGCACTCGACAGCTTGCTTGGGCACTCGCTGTGCCGTGCTCGTACTCGCGCGTGTCTCGGCTACGTAGGCTCGTCGAGAATGCCGCGGCGCAGGCGCCACTCGCCAGCCTAGAAGGGGAAGCCGTGTTCATGACCCCCAACCCCTTACGCACTCTTCACACAGGGGCTCTCACCGCAGTCCCGTGAGGGTTCACGGGGCCGACTACAGTGTGTACAGCGGGGAGGAGTGTCATGAACCCCAATCCGCGCCTCGAGGGGACACGCACTCCGCTGCATCCGGCCGAGTTGAGCGGTATTCACGGTGTTCGTACCCCTCGGATTCACGCGCTGCTCTGGCTCTGCCTACGCGGCTCAATGCCGTATTCCTCCCGCCCACGTCTTCTCTTCCACCCGGTGGTGCGATGGGCTCCCTCCTGTCAGCGCGCTGTCAGCCCTCCGTAGCATCCGGTGCAGAGGAAAGAGTGGGCTGGTAGTCCTCGCAGGATGCCGGTGTACTCATACTGTCTGGGCTCCCCAACATGGGCCCTCAGTCTGCCCGGCGTGTACAGCGCGCCTCTTCACACCGGCCGGCGTGAACAGGGCGCGCGCCTGCGGGCGGCGCTCGGCGAAGTTGCGGCGCGGCGCGGTGAGGGGGTGGTGCGCGACGTGCGGGGCCACGGGTGCATGCTGGGCCTCGAGCTGGCGGCGTCGCAGCCGGCGGGTACTGCCAAGAGGGTCGCGCAGGTGTACTCGCGGCCACTTGATCTGCCACACGCTCCTCTCTCTCTCTCTCTCTCTCTCTCTCTCTCTCTCTCTCGCTCGCTCGCTCGCTCGCTCGCTCTCTCTCTCTCTCTCTCTCTCTCTCTCTCTCTCTCTCTCTCTCTCTCTCTCTCTCTCTCTCTCTCTCTCTGCTCTCTCTCTCTCTCTGGTCTCTCTCTCTGCTCTCTCTCTCTCTCTCTCTGCTCTCTCTCTCTCTCTCTCTCTCTCTCTCTCTCTCTCTCTCTCTCTCTCTCTCTCTCTCTCTCTCTCTCTCTCTCTCTCTCTCTCTCTCTCTCTCTCTCTCTCTCTCTCTCTCTCTCTCCCCTCCCCCCCCCCCCTCCCTCTCTCGGTGTAGGAGTTCCTATTCACGGCCAACACGGCGGGGAGCCGCTCCCCACTGCCCACCTCTCCCCCCCGAGGCGTGCGCTGCGCGCGGGCTGCTGCTGCTCAACTGCTCGGTGTACGAGACTTTGCGCTTCATCCCGCCGCTGACCGTCGCACCGGCCGAGGTGGACGAGGCGTGCGAGGTCTTCGACGCGGCGCTGGCGGAGGTGGTGGCTTGAATCGCCAGTGAGAGCACGACGAGAGAGGTGCACGTTCCTTCGTGGAGGAGAGCTGCCGAAAGCATAGGAGATAGGCGTAGAGAGACACACTGCACTGCTGGCCGTCCATGCGGTTGCTTCCCCCAGGATTAGTCTTCTCTGCTTGCGGGAACACCCTCGGGCGGCCGGGTGGGGCTGCGGCTGGAGCTAGCATGGCTCGATAGAGCCGAGACCCCGTGTTGAGGCGGCGCTCCTGTGGGCGGCTTTGGTGGTTGTGCCCCCCGGGACGCGGCCACCCCTGTCTCCGGTAGAGAGGAGACTTGCGGAGATGGGACATCCGCAATAACTCTGAATGATTAGTGATTGCGCAACCGGCGCAACTGATATGTGGCGACAATTGGTGGCACTTTGTCGGCACTGGTGAAACGACACTGTGTGTCGCTGGTCCAACTCTCCGCTCTGAGCGCCTTGTGGCGCGCTGTTTTGTGAGGTGGGAGGAGAGGAGAGGACAAGTGGAGATGGCTCCACGGCGTGTACGACAATGAAGGAGCAGTAACCAACTACACCCTGGGGCAGAGCGACTCCAAGGGCGCCTTCCTACTGCGGTGCCGGTTCAGCGGGGACAAGCAGACAGGCACTCTCCTCTGGAACCATTTTCAAAACGTGATTCCCATCGAGGAGCGTGCGTGTCTGCAAGTCTCCCCGCTGAACTGGCAGCGCGGCGAGAAGGCGCCCTTGGCGTC